TAGTCTGAAAAAGGCCAAATCACAGATATTGATTCTCCAGTTTCTCAGCACACCTACATGAGAACTTTAACAACAAGAAAAGCCAGACATGTCCAATGCTAGAGAAAGACTCAAGAATGTCTGTGATGATAAGTCATGGCAAGAGGTACAAGACTGAATGCGTCAGGAGAACAGTGGGACAGCCCGAAGATTCCCTCCAATGGCATTCAGGAAATAGATTACCATCCCCTGAGAGTTAACAGCAAAGTCTTTGTCAGGGGCTTTTGGAAGGGGAATCCTGACCACTGAGTGATCTCACATTTTGTTAGAGTAACTGTGGAGTCACTGTAGCAACAGCAGCTGAGACACTAGAACCATGCTTCAAAGCAAACCACACACTTCCAACACAAATGCACACAGGAGTTGCTGTTTCCTCAGCACATCTCAGCAGAACAGAACTCACTGCAGTGGTGAAAGAGCAAAAAGACTTATAAGCTCTCTGGTATCTTAGGACACAGTTCAGAACCCACCCAATTATTTATTTGTTTGTTGATTGAAATTATTTTAATTTTTGCTTAATATTTGTTCTCATTATTAGTGATGTTTCATTTTGTAAAAAAAAAAAGACCAGTTTAATGAAATCTTAAGTTAAAAAGGTAAAATAAAACACAAAGTATAGTTTACATTTTGAATGACCTTGTCATTTACAAGTGCCTTTGTCATTTCAAGTGTTAACTGTAAAAAAAATAAAAAATAACCACAAGCTAGTGGCCGTGATTTTCGCAAACAAATAGTTATTAGAAAACAATGGAAATGACAGGTTTTACAGAGTGTAAACTATAATTAACTCTGTATCTAGAGCAGAGTGGGCCAGATCACTGTGCTGACGGCCATTCAATAAATCTGTAATTAATTAGAAGCACATTGACAAAACACTGGTGGTTTTCTGACTAACAGATTTGCACTGACGACGAAGAAATAACGTCATCAGAAACAACAGGATTGGATGGAAGGCAGCTTAAACATGCTCGACTGTATTTAAAAGAGAGAGAAAGTCTCAAAATGCCACATAAAATCAGAAAGTAAGAGAGGCCTGAGGATAAAAGAGGGTTTTAGGTACTTCCATCAACGTGCGACTAGATGAGAGCTAAATCTACAGGACAGAGTAATGATGAATGCTCACTTTTCCTGCCCCAGAAAGATCCTTAATTCATTAAAGTTGTAGGTCTTTGGTTCTTCTTACCATTGCTAACTCTGAGAGACGAGACAGTCCAAGTAACTTCAAAACAGTGCTGATTTATTCAAAGGATCACAGGTAAAATTAACATTACACGCTCAGGTATCTTGCACCTCCAAACTGCTCGCAGGCAGATGTAAGATGAAAGACCCTGAACCCACCAGGCCTATACATTATATCACCTCGGTTGGGCTAGCCCCATACTACACAGAAACGTCAACCGAGACGTCTCTGTTACCAGCTTTGCAGCTGGTCATAGCAGTAGTCAAAACATGAAG